TTTCTGAGCTCGACACTCCCGAGCTCAGAAAATAAAAATGCTATTTAAATATGAACGCTATGATCACAATAACCGCGAGAGCGATATTTCATCCGACTAAAAACTATCGACTAATTAGTCGATAGTACGTTGCGATTATTCCCTAGGTAGTCGATACTTTAAATTAGTCGATAGTGCCCATCACTACTGTACGTATATCTCATCTGTGATAACTACTGTGGATTCTTGTCTCTCTCTGCTCCGATGGAACTGAGAAGGACAGATTCCTATTTGATTCTCGTATTTGGCCTCTTGGTGGAGCACTCGTACGAGAATCGCGAAATCCCGAGCGTGAGTACTCTCATTTCTCTTCTGATTTGAGATTTCACATATGCGTAGTATGATATTTGGTACACGAATGGCACCCTAAACGTTTAGAAACGAAATACGAAACGACTAGGGAAACGAGGACGATTAAAAGATACAACGAGCTAGGATGCAGTCTTCACGGTCTGAGAACGAGACGTGGTCGTTACCGTAAGTACTGCGTCGAATATAAACACTAATTCGGAAAAACAATTCATATGACAAGAAGACTGAATTATCGATCTATTTGTTTCACAGAGTGAATGGAAGCGTCAACTCAAATGACCCGTGGCCAGAACTTTGTCACAGAACTGAAATGAAACACACAGCGCATAAAAAAGATCTCGCGAATACCGGAGAAAGTAGTAAGCCAATGACATTGGACGATTTTGAGTATCCTGAACTCGGCGATGCTGTTATTAACAGTAAAAATTGTGTCGCGCTAAGAGAACGTTGTCTGCCGAGTCACACTTTAGAGGCTGTGGTTCCGATTCAATTCCACGTATCAGAGGAATTACAGAGGAATCTTCGACCGTCCGAGATAGAAGAGAAGATCAACAAGCTCCAGGAAACTTTACAGGTATCAGGCTTAGCTTGCACTTAAATATTATTTGATTTTTTGATAAAGCAATGGATTATCTTTTATAGAAAGCAAGAAAACTGAATGAAAAGCTTCGCATGCTAAAAATCAATTTCGAGAGAAGTCATTTTGGCGTACCTAACATATCTAACACGTTAGAAACAAATCCAGAGTTTAGAAGAGTTAGTATGACATGCAACATGAAGGATAAAAGGGTCCTGAAATTGAAGAGACTGACTCTAGTCCATAATACGAAACGGATGTACACAGAAAAGCGTGAGGAATTCGAGCGCAAAAAAAGGAAGGCGATCTGTAGAGACGTGGACACTATTAATTTTAACGCTTTAAAGATCACGCCCGACCCAGAAATCGATGTAAATTACGTTAAAAATATGTGTACAATGACGTTGCATGATAAAAATTATAGAGCTGTAAAGGTAATAGGCATTTCGGGTGACACCGCATGTCACAGACCAGGCATGATCCAGAAAATAAACAATCTTAGGATTCGAGAGGGACGATTGGCGAATAGATCAATCGAAAACGCAAATCCGTCGGACTTCTCACATCTCGATATAGACGTGATCGAGAATGACATCGTTAAACAGACTCTCTCTCTTCGGATCGAAGACGGAATAAAACAAGAGATCCCACAGATCGAAATCGACTATTGGAATGAACAAAAATAATTTATGACAATGCCATAATGAGTGGGTTGCATGTGTGAACACGGGCGACTTTGTCGCGTAAAAATCTGCAGTACTATGACGTCTAAAAATTTGAGTCTTCTATTACATGATCCGAGGGTTTGAATGATTCAGTTCGTATTCTTCTTCCAAATAAACGGGACGTGTCACAAAGGTTTTAAATTCACACACGAACACACTTAATCACAAAGATCTTCATTATTTCACGTCCCATTTGATGTTAAACCTCTCTGCGTGCCTGTCTGATTTAAATTTCAGTTTCCAACATCGACGACATAAATTTGTTCAATTTCTCTCGCAACTTTAGAGAGTAAGTACTTTGTCTCTCACAAGACGCGAAACAACAAAGTGTTTTGTATTTTGTATAACTCTCGAATACTCCGTCATGCCATTATATGACATCGTTGTAACGTCTGTACGTAAAGTTTATACATACGCAATAATATAGTATATACGCAATAAATATTACATACTAAAATGTTTGTCAACCTTATGTTTCACCCAGTCGACTTCCCTTCCCATTCAATATTGGGAGCCCGAGAAATGGCTCACCCTCGTACATATATAGGTATTCAGAGTCGTTGGTTATATTTAAGATCTCTATAAGCATTTACTTAAGTCCCTGTTTCCTGTACATAAAAGGGACTGGGAATATGGGATAGACAGGGATAGCAAATGCTTAAGACGATCTTAAAAATAAGCAACGACTTCGAATACCGACCATAGTCGAAGAGGGGAAAAGGGAAACAAAAACGTACGGAAAATATATACTGCGACTATAATAATATAACTCGTCGGTAATGTAACAATAGTTGGTACATATAAGATTCCACGGTCGCTTCAGCATTAAAAATTGTCGACTTTTTCGTGCGACACAAAACCCCATAAAGCTGCCACTTTTTATTAATCTTTCCTCGGCGGCGTTTGAAATTGCCAAACCCTCTCGTTGGAATGATAAAACACGAGAATAGTCTTTGTTTCAAAGAAATGCTGCTGAACAGGTATACGTTTAGCATACGCAGATAAGGCAGCTGTGTTCCAATCAGTTCCTGTCTCGTGCACGCGCTGCAGGTACCTCTAGGCTTGGCAAATTGTCGGAGGCACTGCACGCAATTGCTTAAATTCCAGCAGAATCAAAGCCAACGCGCGTATGCATCTCGGTCAGGCGCAGGTACTCGGGTTAATTAGCTCGCCTCGTATGCGCGAGATATCCGTAGGAGGATGAGTATCGATTTTCCATTAATTTTAATGAAAGATGCTAATCGATTCAGGTGTAAACGCTTTATCGCTCAGTCGCAGCGATTCCAGGAATCATCGGCATTCTTGCGTGTATCGTGACGTACGTATGTACGCTTGTCGCGCGTCGGTCCCATTCCCAAGTTATGGACGATTACGATTACGATTAACAATGAACCCGAGAGCTCGACCCAACTAATTTCATTCGATTTGTAACGAATGGAATTTCGCGCAAGGCCTCCCGATGATTCACTTGCAAATATATATTACCTCCACGCCGTGTCATACGATGACGTATCTTAAGTATGTTAATTGCGCGACGAATTTTATCGCCACTGGAGGAATTTAACCTTTCGACGATTCAGTTTAGAGGTCTATTATTATTATCTATCGGAGGTTCTAATTATACAGGCCGTAGGCTGTAGGCGTAGACGAAAACACAACTAAAACGTATGCACTGTCACATTCCTTACGTCAGTTACGTAAGGAAATAAAAGATACACATATCAACACGTTTATCGTGTGTACTTTCCGTTATTATCATGAAACGGTGAAAATGTAGTACAAGAAACTTGAGTTGTTGAAAATTTCAAATGCGTCCGTGCGGCCAGAGGCTTCTTGAAAAGGCCGAAGCATGCGGGGCGCGCAGATGGAGAACGGGCCCCGAGAAGATGCAGGCAACGAGCCAAAGCCGGGCCCGAGCTCGCCGAGCGGAATGCACGGGAGAAGGCAACGGCAGAAGAAGGAGAAGACGAGAGGCCGCGGCTTGGAATGGAGCTGGAAACGAGAGGCTGCGGGGGAAGTGGATGCTAGTCGGTGTGTGTTGATGCAAGTGCGGTGACTGTACGTGCTGACTGGCGAGTCTGGAGTCAGTCAGTCAGTCAGTCAGTCGGCTCGGTACCAGTCGGCCGGGACGCGCTATCGCGTGCATTTTTCTTCCCTCCTTTGTGAATACGCACGCATACGGCCCGCGTTTTGTGTTTCCACGCGCCGCAGCGTTTATACGTACACTTGCGGGCGAGTAGTGAGCGGCCTGTTACTAGGACCAGTTTTTTTTTTTCGAGTGACGCCCACGCAGCCACCGTGTCATTGTGCCCCGTGCGGATTACCGGGCCAGTCGAAACTCACTCCGAAAAGTCAAAGGCTTCCAGGTAAGCTTCGGTCGGGCCGCGGCCTGCCAGGGGATTTCTGGCTTTACACCAGACGCTGAAAGTATACTGTCCGCTACTCCGTAAGCCCTCAAGATCATGGAAGTGACAGCGAGAGGCTCGGAGAACCGTTCCTCGTACGGAACACGCTTGTCCCGCAGAATTATTTTCGTGTCCCGTTAGGCGTCAACGATCGATGGATCGATCGTGCTGGATGACGCGTGAAATTCGCCGATGTCCAACGGAGGCAAATCCTCTCCGGCGAGGAAAATCCGAAAGCCGGTCTACAGCGTGACAGCGTACCGAGTAGCGGAGACCGCAGGAAAATCGGCTAATGCCGGATCGCGTTTAGCTTGCGAGCGAACGTGGTAACGCGTAAGACCACCAGCCGGCTTGCTAAAAACCGATCAATTTCAGTTACCACTTCCCATTTCGATCCCGTTTAAGGACTGTCCCGCTCGTTTTATTCGCATATCCATCGAAGGGTGCCGTCGTATAATTAACTGAAGATACGCGTTTCTGCGTTAGATCCATGGACATGTGTCATTTCCTCTTCCTTCGTCGCTAACGAGTCCATAGAAACGTCACTCGCGGGCTCCTAGCAAATACGAGATAACGTTCGTTACTCGGTTTCCGAGTGTCGCGTACGTGGCGAGATAATCGCGGTACACGCTCGAAAAGTGGCCGCCTAGGGTACGCGCGCTCCTTTGTGTACACTTCGATACAATCGATTCGCTTGAGTCGCGGCTCGACCGAATCGATGTAATTAACAGGAAATACGGAGTGCCTGCGTTATCGGTCGAAACACTCGGCTTTTTTCTCTTCAAACATCGTAATCGATGCAGGCGTGTCTTCGAGGCGTGCGACGAACCACTCGTGACTCGTCGAGTCCCCGTCTATTTTTAACCGAACAGCGTCGTGACGTTGCCTGCACATTCGACGCATTGATCCTTGCTAATGATCCAGCTCGATCCTCGATCATTGCTCGACCGAAGTTTTCAGGAGTCTCGCTTTTTATTTTAACAAGGCAGATTTTTCTGCCACGACGATGATTAATTGCCGCTCGGTCGTTGAATCATCGATTGAGCGAAAATCGTAAACAAATTCAGTCCCATTTAAATCGATAAAATCGCGCGGGCGATTGGTTCCGGGAATCAAAAGAGGTAGTTGCATTTAATTGTTTGCCGTGGCTGGTTGAAAACAGCATTCGCGGCGCACGTAACATCGTTTCACTGGCGAGCGGCGGCAGCGGCGGCAGCGGCGTGCAGAGGCGATTTGAAGGAGCAAAAAGGCTTGACACGTGAAAGTCCGCTTGCGAAATCGAGGAGGAGAGCATATAATCTAATCCTAACGGGTTAACGGTATATTCCCCGTTCCGTTCGTTCTGTGGCCGTCTGCCAAAACAAACCGAACGCGCGTTAATTGCTTTTAATTATTTGACGAGTTCGTTAACGTTGATTCGGGCTCTCGCGGATTCCTCGACATCAAACGCGTCCCAGCTGTGCTCGAATCGCGACGGTAGCCAATATAACGCGATTACTCTTATCCGTTTTCACACAAACCGGATAACATGAATGTATGCGGTTGTATTCTGTAGCATAAGCTTTATTAAATAACAATTCAACTTTGCGGTGACACTCAGCAGGACTGCTTTAACACGGCTGAGACGTCCTCCGTCAGAGTTCGGAGCGAGTGCTCTCCGATCATGGAAAATGGGCTGATATAGGTTTTTTGGTTTTCGTGGTAGGGATTAGGATTTGCAAGGTAGAACTATCAGGGTTAGTATTTGAGGACGATGTAGGAAGGTCAGGATTCAGAAATGATGCAGCGAAGGTAGGACGAAGTTTGCAAATTTGAGTCAAGGAGTAAATGAAGAGAATAGAAAGAGAGGAGTCATAGAATGATGCATTTCGGTATAAAGGACAAGGTGTATCTTTAACTTAAATACGAAATATCGTTGATATACAGCGATACATATCCACACAGCGTTCTTTCTTTATTCTTGCCTCGAGGAAGCGCGTTGAATCGCGTGCATTTCAAACTTTATTGCCCGTGCAGCAAGAGTACGTTACGATTTTCATTTGAATTAACAAACAGAAACAGCGTTGCTCTTAATTGAAATTGGAATTGATTGGCGAATGGACGAGACTTAGCCGAGTGACAAAGGGAACAACGAGGTGTGACGTAACCAAGTTGCGAATCGATTCGCTGAACGATTGAAAAGGGCGCGAGAAACGTTGGCGCACCTTCGAGGACAAGCAGCGGTGAAGCAATCCGCGCGTGACCAATTGCCAGCGGCTCAATTTCAGCGCGACGTACATTGCTTTTAATCCTTGTTTTACACGCGCCCGTTAACGCTCCCGCGTGTCGCTCCCTCGTTCGGGCCGCGGACCTGTGAAAAAAGCCTGATGGGCCTCGGTTTATTCTTTCGCCCGCGCTCTAGTTTTCCGGCTCGATGTACCGTCATAACGAGAATTCGAGACCAATTGTTCCCGTATTAATCGCTCGGCTGTGAAAATTTCTTGTTTCGTTCCTTCGCGCCAACTGTTCTCGAGCGTTCGTTCTCGCACAGGTTGTTAGTCGATGGCTCGTTTAATTGGGACGTATTTCGATTGCCATAGATTGATGATACCATTGATTCGACGATTGTTCGCGGAAGCGATTAGCTACGCTTACGACGAACTGCTTGACTCAGTTCGTCGCGATGCAAACGCGGCGAACTACTCAGCTGGCAGAAATTCCAGGCCCCATTTTTTTCGCCTCGCTTCAACCCGACGTATCGGGCCGTGGACGAGTCCACGAAAGCAGGATGTGAGATCTCCTGTTACGTTGCGTGGTCGCAACCACGTAAAGAACGATCTTGGATTTCTGTGCACGAAATCCGATGCCTCGACCAACCCGGTTCTCCTTTGCTTCGCGGATTCTGTCTCCGCCGCGCGGTGATTAATAGGACTCACCTTGAACGACGCGGCTGGAAAATCGACGCTGTCTCATTCGAAGAATGTCCATGGCTCGCGCAAGTGCCACGGCGAACGTTGCGCGTCAGGATAAAAAGTCCGTCGTCAGCATCGGCGGACAATGCTTGCGTAAACGGCGAACGCCGGAGTTACATGCATACAAGCAACGGGAATAATGTTATCGAATAATTAGCGAACATTGTTTGAGAAACTGTGGACCTAGGCGTAATCGATAGCCAGAGTAGGCTGCGAGAATCTCTAGTAACAACCACGACGTCCACCGTACCCCATGAACCGGACGTTAATACGGACATTATTGATAGTAACAATGTTTGCGCAGTCGTAACCGTGGGCATGATAACACGGCCAGAGAACAGAATCAAGTTCCACGCAGTGCCATGAGAACGGCTCGTAAAACCCGCTAATGGCAAACGATCATTGTCAAGTCAGGATGAAAAAATGGTTTCCTTTTAGCGGCGCGGAATGAAATTTCTGTACCGGCGGCGGTTCAAGTCCCGAGCACGATTCTTCGTGGCCGAGTAAAATGAAACGAACGTAACGTAGGCACTTGCCCCGCGGAGGTAGGAATGTGCGAGTTAAAGTTTATTATTTACGTAGTTATTCACCGTTCAGGGGGCAACGATCTGGCAAACGTCCTATGCATAGTTAATGCAGCCAGGGACGGCGACTTTCCCCTCCTGTTCTCAATTATCAAAGGTCAGAAGTCCTCCTCTGGTATCGGCGCGAAAGAGGCGGCGGAACTTGATTAATTGATTCGCGGGGGGATGAATCCAATTACGTTTAACCTACCAACCCTCCCTCCTGTGATTACGTCGGTTATAAAGCGAGCTGTCGGTCGTAAGAAACGCGTTCCACTTGTTACGCTGATGAAAATATATTACGTAAATACCGGGATAAATCCTTAACTCATAAACTGAGGAGAGACTTGTAAGAAAACCCAAGAGCATGGGAGCCTTGACTGCGTTTCCGACCATTTATCACTACTGAAAACGTGGAGTGATAGGTCCCAGATGCTAGGCTCTCAAGACCGAACCTTTTGTTAAGGCAACGATGGGACGCCTGACTTTCCCTGGGAGGTCTTCAAGAACTCGCCGATTATGCTAAAACGCAAACCCTCCCCCTCGGGTCTGTTGTCAGCCGTTTTTCGGAGACGGACCCACGGGTCACTTCTCTGCGAATCATCGTAGGCTATTGCTCAGGCATTTTCCAGAATTAAGGTCTATCTACACTAACGTAGTTGTGTTAGCCACCGGCACGTAGGGTCTCCGTAGGTCGTAGGCCATATGTTCGGCAGCGGAATCAGTCTTTAAAGCGAAAGAATTCTCGAAGCAGGTAGTGAACCCTAAACAGCAGGTAGTCCACCTGCCGATTCGGTATGAAACGTAGATCCCTGAGCTCTCTGCTTTTACACACTTTTCCTAGCTGTGACGAGCTAGATTCGTCATTTTACCGGAAAGGGTTAACCCTTTCGCTCACAGACTCCTTATCCCTGACAGCGTCTGTTCGAAAGGATCGAATCGCACTATTTTTATTTTTGTACAAATCATGGAACCGCAAATGCAACGCGTGCGCCACAATTTTGGTAGAAATATTGTACTGATTAAAACCGAGCGTTCCGTGACGTTTAATCCTCGCAAAGACTCGCCGTCAAAGAGCAGCCGAGAAAATTGAATATCTGTTCGGCGAAAGGCGTTTTTGATCAGGTCGATACGAATGACATTCGGCAACCATTTTCGAATATTAAAGTTCCAGCCTCTCTCTGATCAAATTGAATCAAACATTCGCTCCGCGGCCTTCTATCAAATCCGACGTTTCAACTGAGGACGTATAAACATAATATTTCCTTCCGTTCCGCGTCACCGGAATCAACGAAAATATCATCCGTTTATCGCGCGATTCAATTACGATTAATTTCGTCGCGCTTCCCCGTCCCGTCAATCGTCCTCGCAAACGCAACTCTTCGTAATTGCCGGGAATCGGGAGTGTTAATTAAATTAAGACGCCCGCGGGAACGCGCGTCGTTAA